AATACTATTAGTAATATCTTCGCTAAAGACTTTGCTTTATTAGCTCCACCTTACGGGAATTCCGGATACTATTATTTTGCTTGCGGTATTATAGGAGAATTTACGGTAACTAGCGGTTACCGGAAAATAATGCAGTATCGCCCGCGCATTTTGAATGGCTGGATCTGTACTTCTTAACACAAAAGACAGTGGAGAGTAGAACCACGCTGTCTGGCCACTTCTCTTGAAGCCCATATCCTGGTTTCTTAAAAAAATGTCAGTATGAGATCCTAGGATAAATTAGCTACTGAAAAAAACTGTCAAAAGGTCTTTCATTTGTCATTTTTTATGATGCCAAATGAATGAAGTCCTACAAGAAACAAATTATATTTGTACTACAACGTTTTGTGTAGCAACATCTGTTTTAAATATTTACTTTTGTCTAGAAAATTGTCAGCTGCTTGTTGGACTCCAGAAGGGCTTTAAAATATCTCTGTCTTTCTGAAATTCTGCTTCACCTGATATTGTCAAGTATGCAGTAATAAAAGCATTGGGAGACACAGTTCAGCATTCGCCATGCAAACTGAAACTCTCCAGGGTTAAGACCAATATATCTTTAACTGAAACACTAAGTACCCAAAATTTGTAATGAACACATTGACATTGATGTACAGTTTTGTCCATTAGTTAATGGACAAAGAAAAATGACACAAAATAGAATTTTATGCAAAGAAAAAGTGGAAAGACAGAAGAAGACATTCTAAAACAGAAGGTGTCCAACATCAAGCCCACAGGCCGGATCTGGCTCACCAAGCCCTTTTGTTTGGCCCGCGTGGAAGCATGGTGCAACCCAGGCCTTGACAAAGACATGACAAGGAACATGTCTTTTCACTAAAGCGGTGGGGAAGAACTGATACGGCAGGACCTGCACACTGTCCTCCAAGCTCCATTGGTCTCACTGACACTGTACATTATTTTACCAAAGAAAAGGAAAATAAGGAACACTGCATGAATCAAAATAAGTGGAGAAGCAATTTTCTTCATATAAGTGAATAAAAAACGAATATGCTTGAATTTGTAAATCAGGTAGCTGCTGCCAAAAAGCAAAAGCAGTTGTGTTAGAAGTGATTTTTCTGCTGTTCTGCTTTCTTTGTTCACTGATCAAGAAAATAATGTTTTGTATTTGCAGTGTTTATGTTTCATCATGCAACATCCCTTTAATCAGGCCTTTTACTGACTCAGCTTCCCAGTTAAAAGGCCGATAATTACAATATTAGCCAAGCTGGTTCTCATTGCAAGCACTGTGTTCGTTTTCCAGTTCCTCAGTAGAGCTTATGGGAGATGTTGATCTGGAACCTCAGAGCCTGTTAAATTCCCATTTCTGTTTACCAAGTGATACGCATATCCACCCTTCAGTTTGCAAAGATAATTCATTCCTCAGAAACAGATATTAATTTGATATTTTGCATATGAAAATTAAATTCCCATATCTTTTCATGTTAAAGATTATGATTCATTCCCAGGGTCTAGAAAATCACCCAGTGACTCACTGCGTCTGGGCAGAGGCAACATTGACAGTGACCTGTTTCTGGACTGAACAGTAAACTGATACATCTGTTCTTTTTCCTTTCCCGTATACAACCGTTTTTGTGCAATATTTGCCAGGGACCTGTGTGATACGTTTATATTTATATTCATATTCTGTAATATAACTTTGTTGCGTACTGTTCCGGTTTGTTCTTTGTGTGTTCTGGACTGTGAGTAACTCTTCTTAGTGCACTTCTCACTGTACTGATTGTATTGTATTATTATTGTATCATTTGTTACACTGTTGCTGTGTTGTCTGTGTTAAGCTGCTGTTGCACTGCAATTTCCCTCATGGGATCAATAAAGTATCTATTTATTGTCACTACCTTAAGAGTACTAAATTATTAAAACAAGAACATAATTGCATGTTTGTGATAATCAACCCATTTAACCTACTGTACAGTACAGTAATTAAGATGAAATACGTAAAAACTGTACTCATGTACTCATGACAATATTTTTTTCAACAGAACAGATTTATCTAGTGCGCAATTATCAAAACTATAATTAAATACCTTATACTCAGAAGACAGAGTAAAATGTTGCTAGTGAAGATGCAATAACTGCTAACTGAATCTCAAAGGGGGGTATAACGTTGTCAAAAAAACACAAATACTACTATGTAATGGCTGTACATGGTGTTTTGATAATTTATAGTGTGCATGGCAATGCATAAAAGTAAGAACCCAATCTGGCACGAATGAGTTTGACACCTGTGTTCAAAAGTTTCATCTGGAAGGTCCCCCCAGCTTCTTACCCCAGACTTTACTGCACTTTTAATAGCTGTCACAGCATGCAGTCCTCACTTAAGATTGGGCACTATTCACAACCACTTGACAGCTAACTGAGACTCGTGTAATAAATGAACAGGCGGAGATGACTGTGCACACATAGAGCAGAGCAGAAACATATTGACAGTGTTTCTACTTCTTAACATGACTATGACTGAAGATGCAAACCACAGGCTAGCCTTTTCTAAAACACACCAAACAACAGCTATTACAAGAACTATCATCTGAAAGACAGTTACATGATGTAAATGTTTCAGATACAGTGTCTTGCAAAAGCATTCAGACTTTTGCACACTATTGTACGTCAGTACAGTCTGGGGGATCCAAATACCATTTCCTGTTTGGGATGGAAAGCAAAACAATAAACAATCCTACTGAATGTGACAATTAATCTCAGCATCCCTCCACCCTCTCCCTATCCCTCAGCCCCTGATAAATCACAGTTCCTAGTGAAAATATTGTACGCACCAGTTCAATTCCCTGAGGAAAAGGGTTGTCTTCCCAGTCCTTTTCAGGAAAGCGTTGAAGAATCCGACCCTGACCGTCGCTGCTCCCTGCAGGGACAGGAAAAGGAACATCTGTCACAGCTGCTAAGGAAACAAATGGAAATCCTGCTATCCAAGTCAACAACTCGGCTTTTCAACATCATAACAGCACTCTGATACACAATGAATACATTTTATTGAGAGAAATACCTGCAGGACGTACCAGACATGACAAGACCCATGAAATTATCAATGTACAGTATTATACCCATAATTGGCATTACCATCTTTTTACCTTTCTAATATTGATATTCCAAAACTAAGTTTTACTGTGTGAATGGATGCAAAATTCATTTTTTCTCTGTGACGTACCCTTAAAATACACGTGATTTTGAAATTAGTGCTTCTTCAGTAATAAGCACAATCTTGACTTTTTTTAAACCTAAAGTTAATATGGCTATAATGTCCTGCCAGTATAAATACAGTTCTGGGAATGGTTGAACGCCGATATGTTATGACTACGGTATATCGCTAACTTCCAGTGGCTTTGTAACACAGTAATAAAGGACACATCATAAAGATCTCTATTTACAATAAAGATTTAGGATTTAAAATAATAAAAAAAATATAAAAAAGAAGGTATGGCTAGGTATTAACACCATTAATTGTTTAATCTTGGACATCTCCAGTAAATGCTTGTGAACAGGCCAAAAAAGACTTTTAACATTGCATATCTATTTCCTTCTCCTATGTTTTCAAGACTAAATACAGCAGCTATTAACAATCGCAAGAAAACAGTATCCCTTCCCTAAGCTAAACATAATTAAATTTCCATAATTCACTTTTCGATAAGAACTACCAAGCTGAATGTCACTGGGTTTCTAACAGAAGTCATTTTTCATCGAGAAAGTCATGGGACTGACTTAATTAACACAAGCATGCAAATCACAGAGACTGAGGCCTAAACAAAACCAAACCACAATTTCCAAAGTATTTCCATTCTAAATCACTATTTACCTACTTTACATTCAAAACGCCCTTTTGAAAGCAACTGCTTTTTTGGTAAGTGCAAAAAGCTAGGACTTAATTTTAAATGGGGAAATTGTTTTAAATCAAAATGTCTAAAGGTATTTTCAGGATTTTAACATGCATCTTAATCAAGCTAACATGGATACCGAAAAGCCTTCAATATTCATAAGGGGCAAAATTGCTCGTAGCTGCTGTAGAGCAAATAAACATCCTATGGGAATCCTGCATACTGTTCTCACTCTGGCTGCTGAGTCTAAGAAAGATCTGATTAAGGAGGAACTGAAGGAGGAACATGGATAATAATGATTCTTGTCTATAAAGTAAGGAACTGAGAAAAAAGTACTGTAAACACCCAGATATTGACCACCTGTGATTACTTATCTTTTCCAGAAGGTTCAAAGCTGCTTCATCTCCAAAATGTAGTCTCATTAAATTGCAAACATACAGTAGGACGAAATCATAATTAAGGTGTTTTACTACTAATTCTCACATTTTTAAGGAGTGTCCATCGTTGACATCTCGTTGAATAACTAGGTGAACAAAGAAAAGCAATCTATCTTTAATTAAAAACATTTAAGGTCTGTTCGAATGTGGAAGCAGGTTTCAGCAAAGTTAACAAGAGTCAAATCATCTGCTGAGGACAGTTCTACATTACAAAAACTGTAAACGAGTGCAGTGTAAAGCTTCTAAATCACAAGGTAACTGATCAGCATTTTGGAAAGATAAATGAACATCACTGTACAATACAAAGAGGAACTGTATTAAGCATGAGAGAGAAGAAAGAATTGTATTGGCCTAGACCAAAAGACAAAACTGCTGTGAACGTGAACAAAACCCACAGGAGTATAATTCCTGTGGTCCCAGTCGCATAGGCATTACCCATAAATCAGACGCTGTGACAAGAATTGATTGTTTGCAAATTATCTTGGCGGTTCCAAAGTTTAAAACATGGATGTAACCCAAAGCCTGCAACAAAACAGAAATGCCAATTTAACCACAGCTGTCTGATGCGGAATTTCTCAAACCTTCTCCTGCTTACCCCATCCATCCATGTTCTAACTGCTTCATCCAATTCAGAGTCACGGGGAGAGCTGGAGCCTATCCCAGCAGGCAAAGGATGCAAAGCTGGACACACTCTGGATGGGAGGCCAGTCCATCAGAGTGGACATACAAGGAAACACAAATGTTCACAACAGGGCCAATTTTCCCAAAAGCCAATTGACCTTCCAGCATTTCTTTGGACTGTGGGAGGAAACCAGAAAACCTGGTTGAAACACATGCAAACTCAGGGAGAACATACAAACTCCACACAGACAGCACCCCAGGAATTAAACCCAGGGCCCCAGCGCTACAAGGCAGCAATGCTAACCACTGTGCTACCCACTATTAATCCCTTTACTGGAAAATTATTTTTAAGGGCTACTGTATATTGAGTAATCTATATTTTAAACAGAATTCAAGACTGGGCAAACATCTGGCAGATGGCAATTAAAGCAGACAAGTCCAGAGTTACATGAAGGTTAGCAAATACAAACTGCTAATCAAAAGAATGGGAAACGCTGAACCTTCTGAAAGTCTTGAGTGTATGCTGACACCAATTACTGTATGTTCCAAAAAAGTCAACTTAATTTTTGCATCAGAGTCAAGCAACTTGTATTTGTCATCGTGATGTCATGTCATTTTCCAAACCACTTTACACCATACGGTGTGTCAGGAAGCCGGAGCCTACCTGGCAAGCAACGAGCACAAGGCAGGGTACACCCTGGACAGGGCACCAGTCCATCGCAGGGGAAGTACAAGCCAATCATGGGGGCTATTCAGAGGCCACAGTTAAGGCCAGGGGGGGGGGGAATTTGGCCCAGACACCGGGATAACTCCCTACTCTTATCGAGAGATGCCCGGGGATCTTTAATGACACTGAGAGTCAGGACCTCGGCTTAACGTCTCATCCGAAAGATGGTGCCCACTACACTATTGTGTCCCTGCCACTACACCGGGGCATTAAGACCCATACAGGCCGCAGGATGGGAGCCTCCTGCTGGTCCCACTACCACTTCCAACGGCAACCATAGCTTCCCAGGAGGTCTCCCTTCCACGTACTGACCAGGCTCAACCCTGCTTAGCTACAGTGGGTAGCTAGTTGAGAGCTGCAGGGTGATATGGCTGCTGGCATTTGTGATCGTGAGACTCATATTAAGTAAATGTAATATGGTTTATTTTCGGTAATTTGATCAGAGTTTACAATCGACCAGTTTAGAATAAAAATATACCTTGAGTTCGACCCAGGATTTCAAATCTGTTGCTGCAAATAACACAGTATCTACACATCTGCCGTATGTAAAATCTTTTCAGCTAGACAATGTATCTAGTTGCTCAGCAAGTAAAAGAAAAGGCTATACTCTAGACTTCAAGGGTTAATTTACACAAACATTAGAATGATCAAATGAGTAACATACAAGGCCCTGCTGTGACATGCAGCACAGTGTAGTGGTAATATATATATACTCTTTCAGGCTGATCAAAGGGACACAATTCAAGGCATACAAACTAAGATAATGCCTTTCGAGATTTTTTTTTTAAACCAGCAAAGCGAGATCACAGCGCTCTTCTGTAAATACAAACAATTCTGGAAAAGAAATCCTGGGAAGTGGCTTGATTCCAAGGTGTGGCAGCCTTTAGCAAAGGGCAGACCGAGAGTGGAGAATGACATGGGTGGAGGACACATAAGTAAGACTCACCCATCGCATGGAAACTGAGTTCTGAGCAAAGTACTGCACACTGCAATATTTCTTCCAATTTTAGTTTGAAGAGCCGACATCCCTATCTACTTTGCCCAGACTATTACACTGAAGAACATAAGGAATCAATGTACTGTAACTTTGTTGAGAGAGAACTACAAAACTGTCTCTGGGGCTTTGGGAGGTTCAATTATAAAAGGCACTTGTCCCAAGCATAGACTGAGCTCTATAATTCACAGCAGGAGATGGAACTGAGAAATGCCACCAGTCAACTGTGAGCAAACCTCCCCAAGCAGTGGTACATAATCTGGTTGAGAAAGTTAGCCAGGGTGGTCTCTCTTGGTCTGAGACTTCCTGGGTGCCTGCAGGCATGTGGTTACGTCGTGTGAGGGACACTCCCTTCCTCTAGTCAGTGCTGAATTTCCAGTGTCACTGCAGAGCTGTTAACATGCCAAAGAGATGAATGAATTGACTACTGGACCAGTCAGGGTGTTTGCACCTCTTCATTCTCACTGTGTGGGAACTGGAATTGTCTTCTCAGCCAAGAGGCCAGACAGCTGGTAATTCCAAATTGGACAGGTATATAACAAATCTAAACCGGTTCTTTAAATTAGAATAACTGCAGAATGTGTGGAGCATTTATGTAACATAGTGGCTCAAGGCAAGTTAAAAGAAATGAAGTTTACTAGACAAACATTACTCACTCGTAATAGATACTGTAATAACAGTACACCGTCTAGGGTGTTAAATAAACTTGCACAGAATGAAAAGCATATCATGTACAGAATATAATCGTTGTGCAACAGTACAGTCATATTAAATGCAATCTTGTGCAAGGCAAACTCAAAGAATACCATACTGTTTACAGTATTGTCATTGTACTTCAAAAACATCTAAAAAAATAATCCTCCAGGTATACAAAAATCCTCTAATAGAAGAGGAAAAGGTACTTGTACTGACCTATTCTGACAATGTCCACTGCGGTGTCTCCGGGCGTAATGAACACCATAAAACGTGAACATGAAAAACATGCACACTCCTCACCCTTCCTGTACTGCCACAAGACTTTCAGTGGCGAGCCAAGCTGATTAGCAACTGCAGATCCCAAAATTGGGAGGGTATAAAAAGAAAACAAGGAAATTCCAAATAAAATAAAGCTCTGCTGCATCATACGCAGTCAGGAAATTTCAGACTGGGCCTTATTACTCTACTTAATTCATGTCCTTGTGTGGATTAGTGTCTGAAAGCGAAATAAAGTTATGGCCTACTGTAGCATGAATCCTGTTCCTTTAAAATCTGTGT